CTCTCTCTCTCTCTCTCTCTCTCTCTCTCTCTCTCTCTCTCTCTCTCGGACACCGTGCTCGCTCGTTTATATGTTTGACTTTAGATTCGCACGGTCGCGAATAACCGAAACGAATGTTCTCGTACTTGCGATTCAGGGGTAAAACGATCGTAACTGTTTGCGGAATTAATCGCAGTGGGACCACGATTCACGGTAGTTTGATCGATACGATCGACTGCATCAAATTTGTAGCCGAGTTCATTCTGGAATCGACTTCTTGGCTGGTAACGGAGAAGTATCAAATATTTAGATTACAAGGAGATACTAGAAAACGGAAAGCGTTTAGAAAATGATCGTAAAGTCAACGTTGCTACGTACCGAGCGCCGTCCTTGGCGGAATCTTCCCGTAGCGTCGCGAAATCAGCCACGTCCATGGATCGCATAGTGTCAACAGATCCCTGCTCTCTATTATTGTTCCAAGATCGCGCGTTACTATCGACCTCCTAAAATTTCTGCGTCGCGCACGCATCTGTCGACCGCAGGCCGACTAATTTTGCTGAGACTCCCAGAGAATCCGTCGCCGATGTCGCAACTACTTTTTGGGAAAACGATTTCGTCGCGCGAATACTGATCCAATTTTCACGGAACGTTCTATACACCTCTTTGTTTAGATATACAGTCAGTCCCGTGAGTATTCGTACTCTCTCTCTCTCTCTCTCTCTCTCTCTCTCTGGCTATCGAAGAAATTTGTCTAATTTAAATGATAGGCTTCGCGCAGATATAGAAGGTACGAATACTTCTGGAACTGACCGTATATATATATAACACCAACGACACGAGTCTCTCGAATAGATTCTCGACGCACACCTGTCTTCGTTACAAACGTCCAATCTTCCAGGCGTAAGGGTTGAGACGCGAATGGCGCGCTCGCAACAGGGATCGCTTATCGTTTCAGCGGCGAGGGTATAAACGAACGGCGTATAAGTTTGAGTCGCAATTAAAAATAACTCGGCAGCGAAGATGTGTTTGTTAACGTCTATTTATAACGGTCGTTCGTTTTTGCGACGGGATTCTCTGTTGTTGTTTAACAAACAGAATCGCGAAGACCCGACGACGACGCGGACGACGATTGCGAAACGTTTTTCCGAATTTCCATCCGCGTCGCCGAAATCGATCTCCTCGCCTCTCGTACCCCGAAGCCATCCCTCGAGGAACTCGAACACACGTTCCGGGCTCTCGTGTATTTCGGTGGTATGTTGCGTAATGAGATTTGCGTAAGGTCCCGCGATATAAAACACCGTGTGACAGCGAAGGTGAGATGGGATAGAGCATAAGAATTTAGAGTTTAAGTGTCCGAAATATATCTCGTATCCGATACCGCAACGAAAGATGGTTTGATCGGTGACGGTCCCCCGAACAGCATACTATGGCTGCTATCCTGCGAGTGTCTAATTTGTGTGTCATCGTTTACTGTTCCAGAGGTCCTAAACGGCATCTGCAACGCGAGCAAGGAGGAGGAGAGGCGGCGAAAAGGTAAACGAATTGTCTCGAGTCTTACGAAACGATCCGTTCGAACCGAATAGGGTATCCTATAGGATATCGACGCGACTATCTCGCATAGAATTAACGAGTCCGTTGCTCGTCATTTCTCGAACGAACGTCTCGCTGAAATGCTCCAACTCTCACGGAAGAGAAGTTCGAAAGACACGACGTTCGGCATCACGTTTACACGAATAAAACGTCGTCGACTGGGTTCTGTTCCCAGGTACAGGCTACCACGAACTATATAACGGTGTTGTCTGCAATGACACGATCCTTGCGACGGGTGTCTTCAGCTCCAAGGAGCTCTGGATGCTTTCAAAAGGTACGACGATCTCTTTTTCTCGCTCGTTTCACGCTGTCGTGTTGCTTCCTGCATGGACGAAAGTCGACCGAATTCTAGGATATCGAAAGTCTCCAGTCTCTCTGATCCGACGCACGAACAGCGAATGTTCGTTCTGTTCGCGACGCGTTTTCACGGATGCTTTCGAAAGGTAATCAATAAATCGATATCTGGAAAACCTTTTGAAAGCATCCTTTCGATGATAGAGTCATCGACGAGGATGGTACTCAGGAACGGATAGACGCACGCGGATAGACGTGAAAATGAAAAGCAACTCGCTCGCCGCCGGTACCAACCGTATTCGTTTATGCTAGTTTCGTTATCGAAAAGACGTCGGTTACTTCGGGTGTATCGATAGCGGTTTATCGCCAGGAATGTCGACGGTAAACGAACGCTCGCGTATTTTTAGGCCCGGAATGCGAATCGCGGCTTCCACTTGACAGTTATCCTTTCGACGTGCCCGAGACTACTTCGCTCCTCTTTCGCTATCAAGGACCTGACGAACGATCGGCACGCTTTGCGCGTGCACTCGTGCACGAAACTGGTTCGTTGCTGTGAGTCTTCGCTCGTAAGCCTTCCTCGAATCGAATTTCAAATTCTAAAGTCGACGGACTCGATCGGTGAAAAGCTAAAGACAGAGGTACCGTACCAGGACGCTGTCGACGCGTTTTACATTTCTCGCCTGTTTTCCCGTATGCCACAATCCAAGAAGGGATTTCTTTATTCCTCGCTCTATTCGTAGGTATCCCGAAACGTCAAAGTGTCTGTTTCCGAGCGCACGTTTCTCGTAGCGTCGTCGTTTCCTTGTTTTTCGACGAAAGACGTCACGACTGAAATTTTCAGCCGATCTCTGGCGAAACGAGCAAGCGTGGCACGCGTGCATCGCCACTAAATGGAATAATAGGGCAGGGGAGCGCGTATCGAGAAGAGGCGCGAGCCTCGACGTATGCATCTGCACTCTTCCCCTCTTTCTGCATCTCCTCCTCCTCCTCCTCCTCCTTTTGCCACCCTCCCCCCTGCCCCCGTGCTCCCCTTCGCGTCACCGTGGCAGGAGATTAGTATGCAACCCGGTGTATTAATAGACGGGGAACAATGCTCACGGCCTCAGAGAGCTGCTGAGAGAGCCTCGCAGCTTCTCCTCGCCCCCTCTCCTCCCTCTGTGCTCCTCTGGCTCGCGGGGTGACTGAATCCTCCCGTGGCTTTCGTCGATCTTTTCGACACGATCGAACCATCTTTTTCGCAATTTTTTACCTTCCTAGCGCGGCTAGAAATTTACCAACAGCGATATCGTACGATCCGGTCTGACCATAAGTCTAGCACGATGCTGAAATTTTGCTGCGACGCGCTGAACTATCTTTGGGGGGATATCTTGGAAAAGATTCGAGATGGTTTCTCGGGAAGGGTAGCTCGGATTAGAGGTTAACGGTGCTGGTACGTGGTCGTTAACGGTCTATAACCCACTTAGTCGCCCCATAACTCGAGCAGAATTTCGTGCAAAGTGACCGAGGGAGTAACGACCGCACTCGAGGGGGATGTAGTCGTCGTCGGAACGAACAAAAAGTTGTCTATAAATTCGGGACTGTGTACGTCGTTCGTAAAGACGTTGAACAATGTTGGGCCTAAGACGGTTCTCCGGACAGGTAACCGTTCGCGTTTCTTCTCGGCTCGACGGTGGTCTCGTCGTCGTTTCCAACGTTCGCGTCGCAACGAAAACCTGCGCCATATAGAGGGTTAACCATTCGTCGGTGCACGCTACCTCCGCCCCTATTCGTTAGAACCTCGCCAGAGACGAGTCGCTGAGAGATTTTTTCAAAGTGCACCGCTGCCGTTCGAGGTCTCCCTCGTGAACACAAAAAAAAAAAAAAAAAGAAAAAGAAAAAATCGTGAATCACGGTCCCGGCGCCGTGCGCGATTTTCGACGAATTTTTTCCAGATTCCTATCCACCCCCTCCCCCTCCCCCGCCCCCGCCCCCGCCCCCCCCTCCTCTCCCTCCCCGGATACGTCGCTCCTTTTTTGTGTCAACAATGCGCCCACACGTACGCGGCGACGCGAGCGTGTGTGCGGAATCGACGGAAAAAGGTAGGCCCGCAGGGTGGTGTGGCAGTATTTTCCAGGGGTTTTTTTTTTTTTTTTGCTGCCGATGTTCGGAGCCCACGTAGGCTGGATAAAAAGGGGCGCAATTTCCGAGGGTACGCGGAGGGAGGGAGGGAGGGAGGGAGGGAGGGAGGACGGGCGCGGGTGGATGATGTGAAATAGAGAAGAATATCCTGTCGGTGGCGTGACGCTCGCGACGTGTAAGACGAGGCATAATAGAAACACACTACCCCCAGGGGAGGCGATTGTCGTCGCGGTTTTCAGTTATGGAATTCATGGTGGTTGAAAATTGGTAAATACGGTGAAATATCGGAACGGAACGCTATAGGTGACCGAGACTTTAGAGGGTAGAAACGTCGCTTCCACGACGAAATATTATTTTAGTAAAGAGAGGATCGTTCGGTTACGTTCCGGAGGACGGATTATCTCGTCTTGCTCGGTTAAGAGGTTAACGTTTCGTGGTAAAATGTGCCGACGAATCACCCACCCCTGCACGTAGGACCTGAAACTGCACGAGAGAGTGCTTCTTAATTAGCGTCTGGAAATTCGAGGGTATACTCGGAGCATCGCAATAAAAAAGTAAGGCACTCCGTAGAGAACCCTCTTCGGACATGGATCCGTGTAGAGGCCGTCGAATCGAAATACTCGAACGTTGCAGTCGTGCCCGTAAATGTTTCAATTTCACCGGCATTCGCATCGACAGGATCGAAATGAAAATCGAGCTTCTCTTCGGATTCGTTTAAGAAAGCATTTTTACCGAGTTTATCTGCGCCGCGAAGGCCAACCGAGGTGTTTCCTTTGGAGAATTTTTGTTGTACTTGACCGAAAAGGAACAAATCGTTCGATCGTTTCGATACATAACCCTCGACGGAAGAAATTGCGATTCGAGAATCGTATCAAACCTATTTGCGAGGAATGGGGGGGGGTGGGGGGGGGGGGGGGATTCGCTCGAGCGGAAGGGAAAAAGTGGAGGACGCGTTATGGCGGACGGAAAGGGGTAGGAAAAAGAAAGAAACGCGAACGGCCGAGGGTGCACCTGTACCACGATGGATCCGCGTCAGCATTCGGACCGGTTAGAAACTCGCCGAGCCAAATAAATATCCACGCTTCCAGGCCCTCTGCTTTCGAACTGATTCTGTAATTAGGATCTTCGTTAGACGCCTCGAGTCTCGTATCGGGGACAAACTCATCTGTCGACTCGTCTTTTCGTTCGTTCGTCTTATCGTCTCCTTCGAACGCCGTTTAAAGAGCGAAACAACCGTCCGTTAAGATCGTAGTTCGCGTAAAAATGAAACTGTAGTTGGCGCATCGTTAGCGCGAAGCTACGTTCGCTCGAGACAAATGGAGGACGAGTGTTCGGGCTGGCCTGTTACGAGAAAGAAAATATCGGCGCTAGGCGAAGCTTTAAATCTCGTCCATCTACGAAAAGGAATGGTTACCATTTTTGCTGTGTCTCTCGGACAGAAAATCAACCCTTTATCGTTCGTAACCATCCTCGTATACCATCCTCGGTTCTCCCCCGCCTCCGGCCTGCTGCAGAATTTAAATCAGCCGGCACGGAAACGCGATAGTTCCTCGGGCGCTACCGCCGTTTCTGGCATAAAGTTACTAGAGCGGTCCGAAGAAATACAATCGCCAGTGGCGCGTAAATTACCGAGGGCGGCAAAGAAGTCGGAAGATATTTCGCCGCGTGGATGGCGGCGAACAACCCTCCGTCGGGGAGTCCCGCGATCCGTGGAGTGTCTCTAACAGAGAGAACGCAGCTTTACGAGCGAGTTGCTTACACGGGATGCAAATTCTACGGCACTAGCTCAACCTAATTGGTCGTTGACCGTCGTGCACGGGGATCCCTATATTTACGCGTCGCCAACTGCGACAAACTGGAATCCTATTATTTTACGGTGTCGCTGATTCAGCGGAACGTGTAACTGGAGCGTATTCTAATGGCCGGCCGACGATTAATTAACCGACCAACCCCTACCCGCCCGCTACCCTCCCTCGAAACAACGCTGCGTTCGCGCGGTTGTTTCCACCACGAGGCTGGAGTCACTTTCGATTTCTTGGGACAGGAACTGGACGATTTAGTTTGCGTTGAGTTTCCAATTACTCTTTGATCGTTTTCCCTCTTACGAAATATGTATTTCTATTTTATTTTAGCAGTCTTCTCTCACGAACCAATCATTATCTGTCAAATATAATATCGTGAAATGTTTTTGATAAAATGTTTCGAAAAGATACGAAAACGATCAGTGACATCGACCGACTCGTCATGGGAGCACACATGTGTTTCGGTTGCTCCGAGTAACGATGAGTAATTACGTAGCCGGTAGATGGACAAATTGTTCGAGTTCTCTTGGCAGTACGCGGCACGCCTCTTGGCTGTAGCTTCGAAACGATGGTCGAGATACGGTGAGAAAATGGAATTCCCGAAGATTCCTGCCGCCTGTCAAACACGAAAATCTGGTACGCGATAACCCGAATAAAAAGTAGTTGTTGCGCTGGTATTGCCAAAGAAATTCGAAGAATTTGGATAAGGTAAATGCGCTCACAAAAAACCGCTCCTTTCCGACGCGTTCTCGGCGATGCAGTAGAGAAGCGTGTGGGAAGGGTGAGGGGGTAAGTTTCTCGAAGGAAAACGCGCGGAAGTGCGATTTCCTCGCGAGAATCGGGAGCGCAAGAAAACTAAGACGACGAAGACGACGACGACGACGACGACGACGAAGAGGACGACGAGGAGGAGCGGATGACGTACGAACGCGCGAGGATCCGTAACCGCTAATGTGTGTCTGGTTTCAGCGTCCATACTGCATGACCTCAGCGACATGCAGCCTCAAATAAACGCGATCAAAATAGAGCACCCGCCGTACTACTGCAGCAGCTACACCCCTCCGTCCGCAGCCACGGCCGCGGATCATGCTCAGCCAGCGGCTAGCTTCAGTGAGTTTCAAAACCTTTACGTTCGCCCTTATTTTTAGTGAACGCACGCTGTCACCCGGTTCCGCGCGACAAACCGATGCAGCTGCCTCGACGATGCGATGCGATGCGATGCGATGCGATCCGATGCGATCCGTGGAACGACGTATCGCGTCGCGACGCGCCGCGTAGTGGCGCCTTCTAACATGATATATTCCGTACAGAATGATTCTCGAAACTAGGACAAGTCGTAGCTCTTTTCTTACGAAATATACAAAATATCGATAGCTCGGGAGAAGACGTACGTAACAAAAATAACATCGCGGACGGATATAGTATATGTTTGCGAAATTCAACTTTTTTCCGTATCAATTTTTAGTAGCCACGCTTGGGAACGCGGTACGCTTGTCCAAGTTTCTAGAACCACGTTGCTTCGAGAACCGACGCATTGTGATTTCCAACGGCTAGAGTCGACGCATCGCAATTCAAACGCGTTGGCATTCGGTGCGTTGGACTTGAATACGTTGCGATCTCAAGCATCGATTATCGTCGCGGTGACATTCGAAAGACCGTAACCTTTTTGAATCTAAAGTTTAGACGCGGTATTCCTTTCGATTTAGTGTTTAGTCGAATTAGCTCGATAAAAGTGTTTTCGTAATATTACATCCAGATTGGCTGGACGTCAGGTCCGGTTGAATCGGCGCGTTGCGATTTAATGCTCTGCAAGCAGATGCATCGCGACGAAATTCTTTGCGCAGATCTTGTTTTTACCAGGTGTCGTTCGCGAAACCGTGATTTTACGGTATCTTTATCGTTTTTCCGCACCACCACTAAAATTAAACCATTCGAGGACACTCGAGTCTATGCGGAATCGCCTCTCCTCGACGACGTGCGTCGTTTCGCTTGCCTCCGTAGAATCGAGCGAGTTGTGTTTAGAATATCTTCGTCGCGGTAATCTAATTTTCTTTTGCGGCATTTCGACGTATCTAAAAGTGCAATCTTATGACACAGCCAAGGTATAGGATAGATCCAACATCTTATAGGAAGCCCTAATGTCCGCAGCGGAGCTGTGCTACCGACTCGTTAGCGCCTTCTGCTCATGAACACCGTCCAATCTGAAAACTTTGATTGTGTGCCAGACAACCAGACCCGCTCGTAATCGAGTGTTCTAACTGCAGTTGCAGTTAGGGTGATTCATTTCTATAGTTACAGTATTCGTTTCGTTCGCTCCATTCATTTAATTTACTTAATCTTGTAATCGATTATAATCGATACGTTACGATAAAGGGAGCTAGATGAATCGTTGATCGAAGCGCTGGTTTAGGGCTGGCCGATGTCTTCTTTAATATAGTATAATTTATCGAGTCGACGCCGACGCCGACGCCGACGGTTGGAGGTTACCGCGATCGAATCGGTCGTATCGGTTCGGTTTAAGTAACAAATTTGCAGCGGTCAGAGGTTGGACGTTTTTTGTCCCCGAGTTCAATCTCATCCGGCGGCTTATCGGGGAGTCCTTTGTTATCGGGATCTACTTTGCTCAGCGTTCTATAGATCATTTTCCCTATATTTCTCCCTTTCCGTTCTCTATTTTCTTTCTATTCTTCGTCGGCCTCCCTTTATCACGCCCCATCCTCCGGATCTCTCCCTCCCCCCCCCTCTCTCTCTCTCTCTCTCTCTCTTTCTCTCTCTCATCCCTCTTAACTCTTTCATCGATCAAACGATAACCTCCTCCCCCAAAGAGCGGAAGTCGTTGGATGGAGATGAAAAAGAGGAATAACTTCCGGACGGAGGCTTTTTGAGGGGGGAAAAAAATAAAGAGCAAAGAGCCGAACGAAGAATAGGGAATTCACGAATCGCGCGGTGTTTCTCGCGCTAATTTCGCGTCGATTAAAAAAAAAAAAAACTCGCACGTTTGTTCTTCTTTCTGAAAAATCGAGAATCGCGCGAGAAGATGAACGCGCAAGGGCACGTGAAGTCGTGACTTCGATCGGACCACCGACCGAAAGTTTTGAGTTTATGCTACCGTAGGAGGAGGAGTGGCTGCAACGCCGCCGGATAGACGGAATTTACGGACAGAATAAAATGACCACTTTCTCAAGCAAAATATACACGGAGAAAAATTCCGGCAATAAGCATACCTGGACCACGGCCAACCGCATTCTCCGTGCTCCCTTTTTATCATACATACGTTGCCTTTATAGCGGCGTTGGGGGTGGCCCGGTTGATCGACTGTATTGTCGTTAAATTAACGACTGGCGTAAATATTCGCCCCATCCCATCGGCGAAACTAATTTTATGGCCGCGAAACGGCCTCTTTCTACGTATTTTACGTGCATGTAAATTCGTTGACCAAGACGCTTCTTCCTCTATCCGGTATTTCCTCCGCGCGACCCCTTCCGGGATTAACGATTCTCGCCTCGGGGGTCTCTTCTGTGCCAAGGACACCGAGAAACTTTGCTCGATTGATCCCTTCTTTCCACCGTTTTCTATCGTTATCCTTGTTACAGCGTGTACTCGCGATTAATTATATCCTAAGAGATGGTTTACTCGTGCAATGGCAGTCAATCTGTGTGATTTTCTGTTCGCAGGCCCGCCGCCGGTGCATCAGCTCATAAGGAACGACAAGACTGAAAAGCCCCCGACCGTTTCCGTTTCGAGCGCGCCAACCTTCTCGCCAGTCCTCAGGCCCGAGGACGGCCATCGTGGAATGGACTCTCCGCATTCGCAAACGGGTATGTGCCGACGACAACACGCGATCATATCTCGGAATCTATCGTAAGCTCGCGATAACGTTTCACGATGTTAAAGCGGCTGTTCGGACTCCTAAGATTTTCGAGCCTCTCGAAAGCGGATCTTGCGGCTCTTTGTCTACTTCAGCAACGAAAACTTTAAATTCGCGAGTCAACAAAGAAACGATACCGCAAAGGATTTCTCTTATTTTCCTTGTATTTCCATACCGATACTTGAAATCGCGTTCAGAGATCACCTCTGTCGATATAGTTGAAACCGATAGAATTACTTTGTCTCGTAAAAAGCATACATGTACGTATTCTTTTCGTCCTACTCTGCATATTCTCGTTCGTAGAATCCGTTTACGTCCATCGATAAGGGAAACAATTATCTAGAGGTAGATGTAACATTTTTACAACAGCTTACCCATTCGATTTCCCGAATCTCTCGCAAAGAGCCACGAGATCCTCTACCAGCCGAAACTTGGCAGCGAGCGTTCGCGGATTAGTATCTTGACGCGTGGTAAAGGTCACTTTTAGTTCGCGTAAGATAGAAAAATGATAAAAAAGAAAGGTGTTCGAGTAACCGTACGTCCTGTTCGCTGACAAAAATCGTGCATCGAGGTTGCTTCGAAACGATACAAAAGAGTAGTTCACTCACGCGTCACGATACTTTGTCCAGCTCGATACACGGACTGCCTAGACGATAGATTCGACCAGTTCTCGTACGAAACGAAACGCGTAAAGATAAAGAAAAAAAAAGCAGGCGGAATCGTGTTTCCTCTTAACGTAACGTTTGATCGATGGGGAGAACTGTAAGTACTCTGCATACCGGAATGCACACCGATTTAGCATCGGAGATCGAAAAAGCTGCTCGAACACGAACACGAACACGGAGACCGTCGACGAAGGAGGGTCGCGTCGACGACGGCGCGACCTCTTCGTAGTTTCTTCTCCTTCGCCCCAAACCCCAGCCCCCTATTTTTGTTCTCTTTTCCGGTCAAGTCCCCAGAAGTGACCCCCCGGATGAAGCGCGAAGGAATCGACCCCCGATTCGCGACAGCTCCTGTCACACCCTCGTGCGCTTCAGTCTTGTCCGCTTTTGCCTGACGAGTCCACTAACAAATCATCTAACAACGCGAACGAACGCAACGTCCTCGAGATAACACGACCCTCGTACTCCTGGATTTTTTTTCGCGTTCTCGCTGGCTTGTGTCACCGGCCACCGACGATTGATGCGAGACCAGCGATCTTCATCGATCACCGACTCACGCTCTGCGTTTGTCCCTCCATCGGCGAACTCGGCGCACGACGACAGGGCGCACCACGAATCGAGAAACATTTTCACGGGTTCGTTAAAATTTGTAAAAACTACGGGGTACAAGCTGTCGCGTTCCAATCATTCGAATTACTCGACTACTCTTTCCGTTACACTTTCCATCTTGAATTTTCACGCATTTTCATTACGCTCCGTATTACGTTTCGACTCATCGATCGTCAAAGTAGCGATAGATAACGGGTTGAATTTCTCGAAGCGGTATAAATATCCTTGTAGCGTCGGGTAACCTTTATCGTTCTCTCTTCGCGCGGAAATTATGCATTTTTAATGCGCATCCTCGTCGCGCCGTGCTCCGAGTTCCGATGCATCGTCGACGATTTGGCGCCTCGAATGTCCAGTGTGCGATAGACCCAAACTGAGCTCAGCCAGGCATCATGTAAGTAAAATCGATCACCGAGAAGCGGGGATCTCTCGGATCTCGATCCCCAGAAACGATCGAGCCCGCTAGGTGTGTCAGAGGGGATGCGAGATCGATCGTCTCGTGGCGTCCTGATTCGCGTCGCGGCTCGCTAACCCACTTTCCAAAATCGCGATGCAGACGCTTCGAGGACAATTTTGTTAGCGAGGATTTGCGAGCGCGCTTAAAGTTTATCCGACTTTAACGCGAAATCCAGGAACGAGCGAAATTTTATTTGACCGTTGCACGCGACGTTCACTCGTTTCCGTTGTTACGCATCCGTTTGCGAAATTTGTAATTATTGGTTCGGTTGACGGAAAATAATCGTGGACGAGACCAAGTGTCCAGTTCGACGGGAACGTGCTTCTAAATCAGCAGTCGCACGGTCGAAAGTAGGTTAGTGGGGCTCGACGCGATTTTTCGACGAGCGAGACGGAACCGAAGGACGTCCAAGAAATCTGTCCGTCCTCGAAGGATGAGAATCCTTCGCTGGTTCGAAGCTAATATCGCCGTATCCGCGGGTACCGCGACGACCCTGAATCGAGGTCGACGTAAAGTTAAGTCGCGAAAATGTTTTCCCCGAGTAAGGAATGAAAAAGTAACGGTGATTTTCTGATATCTATTTAACGAGCGGTGGACGTGAAGTCGATAGTTTTCCAAGTTTTTTATTCGAACGAGAAGTTTACCCATCCGTGGTTCGAACACCGACGTGAAAGACTTCCAACTCGATGCTAAAGCGGGGATCGAGATCGGGAAATTCGATATCGCGAGTGGGAGTTTTCGAGCGATCCACGGGATCGATGATCGATGGCCGCGTGCAGCCTTGCGGGCCACGTACCGCGAGCAACCTTGAATGATCGCGTGAAAATGACGCGTGATGATCTCTGTTTCAGTCTGAGCCCGAGCGTAGAGAGAAGCTCGCTAACTCGACTAAAAGGTACTTTGTGACTGGTTATTGACTGTTCCATATATATATATATATATATACCTATATCTGACTCTGTATCTATTCTACGTACACGTACGCACGCGTATACGTGTACACGCGACGGACGCGTGTCGTGTGCGCTGAACTTGACGTTCATACGAGCGCGCGTCACATCTACGTACGTGGAATCATCGAGACGATTTCTTCCTTCTTCGTGCTCGTTCGAAATAAGCGACAGCGAAGGTTTTCTCGATAAATGGGCCACTCCGTATAAGTAAATCTTTTAACGCGTTGGCTGCCGTGTCACCCGGACGTATGGCGTCGCGTAAAATTCACAGGAGGCCACGATGCACGAATGCGGATGGCGCTCGTATTTTACTAATCAGCTTCCAACTAAATACGGATACGAATCTCCGGGAGAAATTTGAAAAGTTCTCGTCCTCTGGCGCCAGCTTCCAGGGTTATCAATGTTTGAAAGCGCAAAAAGAAAAGGGGTTTGAAAGAATGGCCCACAAGCACGCGTAGAAAAGCGCGAACGAACGAAATAGCGAGAGTGGTTTTGCCGAGTGCTTCCTAAATCAATGTTGGTCGCGGAGGGAAAAACTCGCGATCGTCCAGCAACGAGGAATATATCGATCGAGCACGATTCGTTCGATACACTCGTCGAGGTTCGAGGGATCGTCGTTTCCGCAGTTGAGACACGTACGCAGGTGAACGCACACGGTCGCGAACGATATCGCGTGTCGGTGCCTCTCGATACATCCGACAGGAATGGCTTTCGTCTCGAACAACCATGCCCGTCCCGCGTGTTCGCGTGTACGCGTGTATGTATACATAATAGATACATACATACATACATATATATATATATTTTCCTCTATTGCTGTCACGTTTGTCATTTCTTATTTTCTTTTTCCATGATTTCTATCTCGCACTACTTCTGTATATCGTGTCTCTCCTTCTCCTTTCTCTCTGTCACGTATACATGCGCGTACGTACACGACCTGAGACACATGCAACATATACACGCGTATACATATTTCGGATACTATTTAGACCGGTGTTTCTCAAACGTAGATAAAAAAACGCTGTTGTCTGTGGTAAAAAAAGGAAACCAGGTAATTTCGATGTTGCTTCTCTCGAGGGCGACGGAAAATAGATTCGTTCGAAACTCTAGTAGCAAAGAATAAGAAACGTATTTTGGGAGTCCTGTAAAAAAATTGTCCTTCATCGAGGGCTAGACGTTGTTTGAGAAACACTGCTTCGGACGGATGCAAGAGCGTTCGAGTTTTAAACGAAACACAGCCACCCCCGCCACCCTAGTTAAATGCGCTCTGGCGCTCCGTGTGTATCGCTATATTTCTCACTTTTACCGTATATTGCGTATCGTTGAAACTCCAGGCGATTCGCGTCTTCGAGCCTCGTTGCGATCGATTTCGCGAGTTTCGCGAGATGATTGCGCGAGTTTAGAGGAAGGTTTCGAAGACGAAGCGATCAAGGGAGCGAACGAACGGAGGAAATCGCTTCGAAGAGGATTTCTCGGAGGCGACGAACCTTTTGGAAGTCGAGAACTTCGAAGTACCGTTTCGATTTATCGATATTAGGGGACGAGGGATAGGGGATTAGAAGATTGGACTATTTTCATGTTTCGTACGTCTGGGATTTATCGGGTATTCGGTATCGGATAGGAAAAGTCACAAAAAGCACTCGAATCGCGAAAGTTGTGTTCGCAAAAACACAGAGAGAGAGATTAAAAGATGTTAGAGGAGATAAAATAAAGCTCGTCTTGCGAAATCGCGAGCGACGAAGACGCGAATCGTCGATGCGGCTCGAAATTGCACAATCACCCCTCAACCTCCGCTCCTCCATAGCACCACTTTATATATCTCTAAGTATGTGTCCGTGTCTCCGTGCACACATCGCGACACGTTGCTACTTTGCGCGTATAAAGGACCACCCTCTGCGCACGTACACACGTACACACGTACACACACACACACTCTAAATTTCGACGATATCCTCGATGCAACGTAGAAGCAAACTTTTGTTTATCCTTCGGTTTAGAAGAGACGAATTCGAAAGAAGGATGAGAAAAGTTTACGATTTACCCAGTCGATGATATTTCGAAGACCGAGCGCAGTCACAGCGAAAGGAAAAAAGGGACACGTTTTCTCGAACATTGGGAAAATCGAGAGAAACGCAGACGGTATTTGGTAAAGCTGTCCGTGTACTCGGTAATACGCGGGTAGCTCGAAATACAGCGACTAATTATTAGAACAATTATAAACGTGAATTTATTTAATCAACGTTCGATAAGTTGGAGTGTATTCGAGGTACCGAAAGCGTTCGTAGGACTCGGTCCTCTGTTTCCGAGTACTCGGTTCTCGCGGCATGCCCCGTCGAGCAATCCTCTCGAATGCCTTCGCTATCGATCACCGCGATGTTCGGTTCTTCTCCAACCTTATCTGTTATGTTCCCCTTGATTCAATAGATCTATTCCCAATCGCGCTAAGTGCAGTGCTTAATTTCCCGGAACGTACTTTGCGAAAGCTTCAAAACAATCGCGAGCGACTGATTTATCGTTCGTTCGTTTTCAATGGACTCTCTCTCTCTCTCTCTCTCTCTCTCTCTCTCTCTCTCTCTCTCTCCCCCGGCGAGGATTTTATCCGCGAATTTTCCATGATCGACGATTCGCATGGTGGCGCCGTTGATAATGAAAAAGCTCGAATTAAGCACTGCTCTTTCGTCGATCGAATGCAATGTACCAAAGTGGCACTTTATTTTTTTTTTTTGTATTTTTTTTTTTTTTTATTTTTCGTACGAGCTCCAATAGTCCCGACGCTCTTGTTATGGTAGTTGTTGCACCATGTTGACTACGTCGTTGGTATATTAATTATACAATGGTTTGATGACAGCCCGTTGAAAGTGCTTGCGATGTTTACGCGCGATAAACGTTGCTACATTCCTTGCATACGTAAGGAGCGTACTTTCGGTGTCGGTTGACGGTTTGTCACGAACGCGTCTCGCGTGCGAGTCGTTCCATGCCGAATTGGAATATATGTCGCGTAGGTCCATGCGATTTGCCTTTTTTTTTTTTTTTTTTTCTTTCTTCTACGTGACGCCAACGCCGTCCTGTAAATGTTAATTGTCGTTATCGCGGAGCGAGCAACGAATAATCGAGAAGTATTCCAGAGAATTTTCGTACCCTTAGAGATCTCTTTTCCCTCGGTTCGAGAGATCCAAGTGAAAGAGAAGGAAGGAGAGAAAGGGGTAGAGACAAAGTGGGACGGAAGAAAGTGGATTAATCCGACGGTCGTTTGTCCACCACAGGGGAATCCCCGAGAAATCCGCCCGACGTCTGATTGCGATACGGTAAACCGCTGCGTCGTCACGAGGAACTCGAAAAAAGCAAGAATGTTATATGTTAGCACTTAATGAACATTTTTGTGTTAGCTCGATGTTGCATCTCTCTCTCTCTCTTTCTATATATGATATATATATATATATATATACATATATATATCATATATGTGTGTGTACACATACGAACGCGTAACAATTATTATAAATAGATATACGCGCGTCACGATTATCGTCGATTGTACAGACGCGCGCGTGTGTGTATTTATAGTAATCGTTGCTCGGTTTGTATAGCCGCCTGCAGCTGTGTGCACGATTGTTCGCGCAATGCTGACGTTGGTAGGCGAGCAGAGATATTATTGTTCTTTTTTTCTCCATTGTTTTCTACTTGGAAGATCGAGTCGATTTTAGTCACGACCCTGGCGAATATCGACGATTCAACGTCTGGCCCCTTCCGAAGACTGAAACTTTGGTTAACGGAGAAATCCATTCGACGATCGATACCTCGACGAATGGTCAGGTTAAAACGAGAAATAGGAAACTTCTTCCGATGGCCGGACGATAAATTGAATCGTTCGAATGTTTGCCATAGTTTCGACGAACGCGAGATAGATTTTTTACGTTCTAGCCGTTTTGCGTCTATTTTATTTTTCATTCGCGTCGTTCGAACGATCAACGAAGCTTGGCGCTTTCAGGCATATGACACACATAGACGATATCGATTTAGAAGCGACAAATTATTCGTAGGACCCCTGTTTTGTTTTGTTCGTTAATGCGACGAAAAGCTTACAGATTCGGTCGGGTGGAGGGAATACGATCTGATACGATGCTTCTAGTATATACCGCCTGACCGGAAAGATTTCCTGCTCGACTCGACGCAGTTTGACGAGCGAACAGCAGTAGATACGGTCGACCATGGTCGGACCGAACGCAGTCTACCGCGCTGCGTCTGGACACCGACTCGCCCGTTCTACTGGCTCGACAAAAATCGATCCGCTGCGTTCCAAGTTCCAACAGTCCGGTCTCTACGGTTTTCAAATTGCATTCGGGTCGAAGAAGAAAGCAACGCTCTCCGTTCGAATGAGCGAACACCGTTCGCGCGATGATGAACCGATAAATGTCGATTCGGACGTTACTCTGTCCGGTTGGGACCGTATCGCGTGTGATATTTTTTTAACGGAACCCGTGGCACGATCAACGCCCGAGTATAATTTGACCGATACGAAATAGTTGTCCAGGGACCGCCGAAAACGAGTAATCCGCCATAAGCACGCCCGCAACGATACTAACCGAACGAACCATTAATCTAACCAAAATCGTATTTTTGTATGCCTCTGTATGGAAATAAGTATACTCCACGATATTCCTGTTCACTTGTGTATGTATAGTACTATATGTGTATATCTATATATATATAACGCCCCCGTTTGCCTGTCCGTCTGACTGACCTGTCCGTTGCCGAGAAGATAAAAATGGCTCGATGTTAGTCGGCCAACCCCTGTCCCCGGTTCACTCGAAGCGACTCGAACGAATCGTCGAGAGATCGGTCGGGAAAACAACCCCCGAGCGCAAGGAATTTCGTTCGGTGCTTTGGAAACGGACAGACAGACAGACGGACGGCATTTCTTGCTAACTGCGTAGTACCGGTCTACCTGGTAAGCTAGCTGTCGCTGTCTGTCTGTTTGTCTGTTCGTCTGTCTGTTCGTCTGTCTGTTCGTCTGTCTGTCTATCTGCCCACCCTGTTACACCCTGTTACACCCTGTTACACCTGTTCACGTATTACTATTTTTTTAAGGGCACCGCCTCGAGTCGAATGGAGTTTCCGATGGTTCCAGGGGCTAACCGTGGAAAGTCGAGAAATTTTACGCGAATCTCGTAACGTGAAAGTTGCGAACGTTCGATTTTACGAAAACTGTCGAGCGAGAACTGTCGCGCGAGAACCCTGGATCCATGGATCGAACGACGATCGAGGTCGTGCCCGTTTGAACCGTGCACACCATAATTATCTCTATCTCACTCACTGTCACACGGCCAATGCTCTGGGTATGTCGTATGCTGGATGGAATTAATTACTATATTGACTTAATTGACTTGATTGATTCAATTAATTTTCGAACCTTGATTGAGACTTGTTTATTGCTCACACTCTACCTCTATCTATCTCTCTCCGTACGATACTACCTATTCTATTGTTGTTGCGATGTTGGTGTTGTTGTTTACCATATACATATATATATATACATACATACATACATACATATATATATATATATATCTCTCTCACGTATATATGTATATCATTGTATTGATGTTGATGTTGTTGTTACCTTGATGTTTTTGATGTGTTGTTTAATCGTTGTTATCTTGCTGTTTGATGTTTGTTGTTGCACTATATATATCTATATATACCTCTCTATCTATATATATTATTATTATTATTATTATTATTATTATTATTATTATATATATACATACCTATATGTATATATACATACATGTATATATTCACATGTTGCGCGATACACGTGCACGCGCGCGGACGTTTGCTGCTGTCGATAGATTCTTTCCCTGACTGAGTCGATTATTCGAATCTCGTTGCAATTTATGTAAACGAATCTTTGAAACAAACTACACGAACGATATCAAATGGCAAACGATGCGTTTTCAGGTGCAGTTGCGCGCGCGTGCGCGCGTATACGAACACATGTACATTTCAGCCAGCCAGCCTCACGCTTGGAGTGCCTTATCTATATATATATATATATATATATATATATATATATATATCGTATATGTATATACGTATATACTCGTATATACTCGTATATATATATATATATATATCTATATATACTTAACACGATCGTTATAGTTGGTCGCCCCCTACCCCTGAAACACCACTAAAACCACCCCCTAACAGACTTACAGCGGCAATCGTTACCTCTGTTTGCTCCCTCTTCCGCTAAACTCTCGCGACGAACTCGAGCGGATAACGTTTCAGCTTTGTTAACGTTCCCCGGTATTAACAAAATTAACATCATCGTAGCTTCGTGCTTGAAAATTTCCTGGCTGTCGATTCATCCGGAAAGCGTGCACGAAAAACGAACGTGCCTCGAGTCTGAAAATTCGAGGTTACTTGAACGAACGTTAAATTATTCGAAAATGTCGTGGACGTCTCGGTCCTGCAAGCTACACGTTACACTTTGCTGCCAGCGAAGAGAACTATCTACGTCGACCGTTGGCTACGTGTTTCCATCGTAACGAAATATACCACTTTTGCTTGCAAAACCGATACCACTCGTACCTTTCGAAGTTGTCGGTGAGCGCGAGATAGCATTGTTTTCATCGATTGGAAAATATTCCGCGAGAGGGTAAGAAGAGGCTCCGGGCGACGAAGTGTGATCCTCGAAGAGGACGCGAAACGGAGTCGATCCAACGAAAGATGACGGTCGAATTTAGGGGGTGGTTCGTCGTGGCCCCGGGCGGACAGTCGGACGATGACAGTGGTGAATTGTGTTTCAGGATTGCACTCACCGCACGAAGGACTAGCCGGTGGTTCCGGTCAGAGTATGTCCGGGCTCGCCTACTATCAGCCGGAGCACCCTGCCTCCGCGGGGGTGGTCAAATACCCCGAGAACGGTCACGACACCCTCTCGGATTTCGTGACGTTCGTCTGCCAGGAGGCCGAGAATACTCAGCAACTGCCCCAGGTAGCTTCCGGATCCTTCGAAGCCGCCCCGTTGTCGACGTATCGCCAAACGGAATCTTCTTCGACTTCCGCGGACTGCTGTTCGCTAATTTATGTTCTCGTTCGCGCTGGACGAGTTGCAGCGTTGCATAAACGAGGTCGTGTAATATTCCGAAAAGTTCTCGAAGAATGTTTTCGTGGATCGCGAACGAAAGCAACGGGGCGGTTGCGTGCGACCTGCATCGTCATCCGTGTTCCAGTCGCCCTGGATTTTTCGAGTTCGGTTCGTTTGAGAAGTGACCGTTGATCGGAACTCAAGATCATTGGCGTATACGTAATTGAATTTCTCCTGAGCAATTGCTTCCATTAGAAATTATTCAAAAAATTCGTACATCGACTCCTCGTTTGCGGTACGATACAATTCGTTTCGATCCGTTGGTTACGTTTGTCGACCGACTTTATCTTCGAGTTTACCTTCTTGCGAAGCGCGGAATGGCTGCTAGAACATGGGGAAAAAATAAAAGATTGCCTCCGAGAGAT